TTCCTACCCCCCTCCCCCAGATGTTCTGATTTAACTTGGATTTAAACTTGGAGAGGGGTCAGTTTGGATAAGCTATTACCAGCAGGAGAGTGAGTTTGTGTGTGTATGGGGGTGGGGGGGTGAGAAAACCTGGATTTGTGCTGGAAATGCCCCACCTTGATTATCATGCACATTGTAGGGAGAGTGGTCACTTTGGATGAGCTATTACCAGCAGGATAGTGAGTTTGTGTGTGTGGTTTTTGGGAGGGGGGTGAGGGGGTGAGAGAACCTGGATTTGTGCAGGAAATGGCCCAACTTGATTATCATGCACATTGTGTAGAGAGTTGTCACTTTGGATGGGCTATCACCAGCAGGAGAGTGAATTTGTGTGGGGGGGTGGAGGGTGAGAAAACCTGGATTTGTGCTGGAAATGGCCCAACTTGATGATCACTTTAGATAAGCTATTACCAGCAGGACAGTGGGGTGGGAGGAGGTACTGTTTCATATTCTCTGTGTGTATATAAAGTCTGCTGCAGTTTCCACAGTATGCATCCGATGAAGTGAGCTGTAGCTCACGAAAGCTCATGCTCAAATAAAATGGTTAGTCTCTAAGGTGCCACAAGTACTCTTTTTCAGTTTAGAAAAAGTTTGTCTGGCTATTCATATGGAAAATAAGCATTCTAAATCATACCATTCCATTACCTCATCCTTTCTCTAAATATAACCCATAACCAGCTGCACTCTTTTTTTTGCTGCCACGAATTGGTAGATTTCGCTTTTGTGGACATTTTATGCACCATTTCTGACAGAAAAGGATTATCTGAAGAAGCTACTCTATCTACATCTATCTCATTGATCCCTCTAGCTTAAGACCAGGCAGGATATTGAAAATGTTATGGACAAATTCTGCTGTCCCTTTCATCTTCCATAGCAATAGCTTTTCTGTCAAAAATGTGTCTGATCAATTTTAAAACCCTGAATGCATCTATCTCCTACTACTGTCTCTTTCCTATTGCTACATTAGGTTGGGAAGAAGTCCTCCCTTGAAACATTATTTTATTGGATAAAATCAGATGGTGTACTTTGACTTTTAAAGATGTTTATTTGATAATCCAATTTAGGCAGGACTCCTTTTAGTTCAAGTAGAACAGCAAAACATGGCTACTAATTTTCTGCTTCTCAACTTACGTTTTTCTTGTTGGTGCATCACAAAGCTGTGGGGGTAGGATTCTTATAAATCCATGCCCTCTGCTCACAAGAGCAGAGCAGGCAAGCAGAGTGATATACATATCTACAAGCACAAATACATCCAATGCTGTAGAGTAATTCCTCTGGTATGTGACCCACTAAGAAGTGGAGATTCTAGGTATATTTTAGTCCTCATTTAGGAGTTCTAATGGATACCACAAGATGTGGAAGGGAATAGTTTTTGTCTTTTTTTATTAATAAAATGTGTCCATAGGACTAACTGACCTTGTGAGGATCCTTTATAAGTGAATTCATAGAAGGCCTACATTACTGGCTGATACTGTCATAATAATTTATGATTTGACTATTTAAGGTTTCAATTTCCTACATTTAATGCATCTCTGATTTTCCCTAAAGCCAAATTTGAAGGAAGGTCATGAAGGACGCTGCAGTTCATTATTGCAATTCAGTCTTCTCAGTGTAACTTCTTTGAGACTAATTTGTTTATTTCAGGTTCTCCAGAAGTAATGACTGCTCTGATAGCCACAGTATGACATCAGCAGAATGAAGATTGCCCACATGATGTGGGTTCAGGCAGGGGACTTAATTTGCTATGTTGCACGGAGTTCAAAAGTTTTTCAATATTATTACTTACTCCTAATAGAAGGTGGGTACTTAAAGGGATATTTTCTTCTAGGATCATTCTCATTAAATAAGGGGCCAGATTTTTAAAGGTACTTAGGCACCTAATGGGATTTTCAAAATCATCTTGGTGCCTAACACCTATAGAAAGCAATAGCTATTAAGTGCCTTAGTGCTTTTGAAAATCTCACTGAGTACTCACATACCTTTTGTTAAGGAAAAGTTAGCATATGTGACTCCATTTTGGTTTGGGGCCCACCATTGTCTAAAAGCAAGCACATCATGCACCAAGAGGAGTGTTCCTTAGATACCGCATTCCTGTGAAAACCGTCCCCCTTGTTTCCAGCCTGTCTTGACTCCCGGTTTCTGTTCTTTGTCTGTTCCTAACTCCCTGCCTTCTTGCCTTGATGTGGGCCTCCCATCCTGATAAGAAAAGTTACTGGTGCATTGCTTTAGGACCATGTAATGTAGCTGAAGTAATGGTTTAGCACGGGGAATGTACCTAGCAGGGATAGGTGGTAGATAAGGGAAGGGTTTGTCTATTGGCTAAGGTTTCCGATGCACGAGGGCAACGTGCTTTGCTAAAAGGTATATAATCTTTGTGTAACCTGCATGCGGGGTCCCCTCCTGATTAGCAGGGAGCACCACGCTCGAGCGTAATAAACTTAGTATCTTTGGGAACTCTGCAGTTGTGGACTTTGTTCGTGTGCCTCAGCCTAGACTCGAACTGTGCGTGACCTATCGGATATAATTCGCAGCAGTTTGTGTGCGTGACCTGTCAGGTATAATTCGTAACACTTTCTAAAAAATCTGGCATGAGATCCTTAAATTCTTTGGATACACTGGAAGAGGATAATCTAGAAAATGATGCCCCATTCTTTCTGGACTACACACTGGAGAAGCCTCTTGACTGATGACAAGAAAAGACTGCCACCGCTGCTCAGTGGTGGTGCTAAAGAAGATCAGTGACTCCCTGCCACATTTGGCATTCAGACGAGGCATAAAGGTCACAGAAATGTGGCTGCCAGCTTAGTTTTGTGGGGGAAATCAGGAGGACCTCCAGTTTTGTCCTCTACCACTTTTCACTAGTAGGAATATAGGAAGATGCAGAATTGGAAGAATGTGTGATCTTACCCTACAGAACAGGCAGCTTGCAGACAAGTTTATTCATGCCTCAGCACTGGGCTCAGTGCCATGGGGAGCACTGGCATCTGTCCCAAGACCTCTTTTCCCTACAACAGGGGCAGCATCCTTCCCAGCACAAAGGAAATTAGGGATTTAGCCAGCGGAAGGGTCAAGTGGTGATGTGGTTTAATGAGGTAACTTTAAAAGGATAAGGAAGAAAAATTTCCTGGAGACAGGCTATCCCATAACAAACTATTGCAGGATTTTTTGCACCTTCAGTGACAAGATACTAGATTAGATTCACTGATCTGATCCACTTGGCCAATTCCTATGTAAAACTGATCTTGACTAGCAAAGTGAGATGGGCAAAGAGTCAGATCTTACTTTAAGATTAATCTTGTTATATAGCTGAATGCAAAAATATGATCGTATAAACCCAGACAAGTCAATATCACAATATCCTTCTCTCTGTTCCCTGTTGTATATACATTGCTATGGAATATTTCACTACATGATTGGTACAGATTCTGAGACAAATGTATAACTTGGGGGCTGTGAATTAAAACACTATCTTACACAGTGTTGGTCAAAATTCAAAATGCCAGAAAGTTTGGTTTGAGAGCAAGAGTTTGAATGCTTAAGTGAAAAAGCCCAGCTCTGTTATACTCTGACTGATCCCCATGTCCCATATTTCTGATGATCTTTGGAGGAAAGGTCACAGAGTTAAGAGTTGTGAAATTTTGGGGCAGCAAAGAGACTCGAGTCTCTCTCTAGGCAGGCATGGGGCTGTATGAGAGTAACTGATTCACAAAAATGAAGAGCTGAGGAAATAGCTGGGAGTCCAGTAGGATCCTATTGAAGGTTTATGTAAATGTTTGGTCACAGCAGAGGTAACTGTACAGTTTTCTATTGCCCCTCAGAAGAGGTGCATTCTTAACTAAACAGTTTCTAACTTTAAAAGGACATTTGTTTTGGTGGTTAGGAAAAGGTGGAGGTTGATTGTTATATTTAAATTAACTCGTTTGTCTACCCCTATCCATAACCAGAAGAGTATCTATTTGATGCTGTTATATTTTGGGAAACAATTTACTGTATCTTGGTCACACTGAATGCATTTGATGAAGATGAAAGCCCAATGCCTAAAAAATATTGCTTTCATTTAAATGGTGTTTTTAATTACATAAGGAATCTGGAATTTGGGGGAATTAATGATTAAGCTGTTGGAGGAAATGAGCCCAGGTGTGTGTGTGTTGTGTGTCATTACTCAGTGAAGTTTTATGACTCTGTATTTAATGACTTTTAAATACACAGTCTTAGATGGAAGCCAGAAATGTTTGCTCCAAATGCTCGCTTCAACAGTTTTGCATGGCACTCTTTTAGACAACATTCATTATTAATCATCATTACTGATTTCTGTAGCACTGTTCATTATGTATCAATGTTTTACAGCTAATAAACATATTTAAAGACAATTTAGTGTTGCTGAAAGATACTAGGTTGAGATTTCAGAGTAGCAGCCGTGTTAGTCTGTATTTGCAAAAAGAAAAGGAGGACTTGTGGCACTTTAGAGACACTTTAGAGACTGACTGCTGTGTAACTGAACTGCTGCCAATTGATTTGTGGGACTACATAATACATTTCTAGGAATGTTACTTCTTTAGAACCCCAAAGTTACCTGCATCTCACCCCAATTTGATGTTATACATTATATACCTCAGGAATTCAGCATCATGGCAGTGGCAGAACTGGCCCCTTCATGGGCTGTGTGCACACGGAGGCCCCCATCCCTGGGGCAGGCTAAGTTTCCGGAACCGGCCGGGGTCATAGGAGACTTCCCTTGCTCGTCTCACATTGGGCTAGCAGAGGAAGTGAAGCATTTCAGATCTCACACACACACCTTTGTTCTGTTGCACCCCCCTCCGTTTTCCATCTGTCCCTGCTATCAGTTCGGTGTGGGGCAGGGTTTATCAACAGAGCCGTGGCAAGCTGTTCCTTATCTAGCGCCAAGCCCAAGATAGCAGCAGGGCCCTCTGTGTACCCGGGGGGCAAGGCGGGGGCATGCGAGGCGCGGGGGGACGGGCTCAGGCTGGGCTCTGTGCGTGCGAGCTCGCCCGGGAATAAATAGCATCCACCCCGAGCAGGGCGGCTGCTCCATTGCTGGTTACCTGAGCCGGGAAACCACGTGAGTGCCACATCAGCGGCGCTTTTTAGCCTGAAAGTCACAGAAAGGAAACAGGAACCGGAGAAGCGGCTGGGGCCGGCCGGCCGGCGTGTGGCTTTGGGAGGGCGGGCCGCTGGCCAGTCCGTATCTTCCCCCCCCCCCACACACACAACCAGGGCGGGCCTGATCCTCGCCGCTGCCCTGGAGGCTGCTGCGGAGCGAGCCCGGCCCGCAGGCGCTGGTTGAGCGAGGAGGCTCCCTCCCAGCCGCGCGCGCTTCCCCGGGGCGCGGGGCCAGCTCGATCTGCGGGAGCGGCAGGGCGGCGGCGGAAGATGCTGCAGTCCCTGGCCGGCTGCTCGTGCGTGCGGCTGGTGGAGAGGCACCGCTCCGCCTGGTGCTTCGCCTTCCTGGTGCTGGGCTACCTGCTCTACCTGGTCTTCGGCGCCGTGGTCTTCTCCTCGGTGGAGCTGCCCTACGAGGACCTGCTGCGCCAGGAGCTGCGCAAGCTGAAGCGGCGCTTCCTGGAGGAGCACGAGTGCCTGTCGGAGCAGCAGCTGGAGCAGTTCCTGCGGCGGGTGCTGGAGGCCAGCAACTACGGCGTGTCCGTGCTGGGCAACGCCTCGGGCAACTGGAACTGGGACTTCACCTCCGCGCTCTTCTTCGCCAGCACCGTGCTCTCCACCACGGGTAAGGGGCCCCTCTCGGCGCCTCCTCCCCCCCTCTCCAGCCCCCCAGGCCCCTCTGCACCCAGGGCTTCTCCATTCCCATCTGCACCCAATGGGCTGCTCTGTCTTCATCTCTTTCCCCCCCCCCCCCCCAGCACTCAGGGTGCCTTTATCCCCTCTGCACTCATGGGCTGCTCTGTCTTCATCTCCCAACCCCTCTCTCTGCACCATCCCCCTGCCCCCAGGGTGCCTCTATCCCCTCTGCATCCAAGGACTGCTGCATCTCTCCTCGCCCCTTCATCTCCTTGCGCGCAGGCACCGTCCACCTGCCCCCTGGGGCTTCCTTCTCTATCCCTTTCCTGCACTCACAGACTCCGTCTTCCTCCCCTCCCCACAGGACCCCATATCCCTGCACTAGCAGCTCTTCATTCCCATCCCATCTGTCCCCGTGGCCCTCTCCATCTCTTGTCCTCCTTTCCACTCTTGTGGAAGGTGCACGGAATCCCAGGGAGAAGAACCCCTCCTAGGCCCCTTTCTTTCTTTCCTTCTTTCTCTTGGGAGCTAAGGGCAAGAGAAGAAAGGAAACTCCTTTACATCCCGAGGTCCAGTCTTCTTATCAAGAAAACTTAAGTGGCAGCCAAGTGGATAGTATTTGCTTTGATGGTTTTTTTTTTTTTTTTTTTTTTTTAGTGTTGCATAAACCAGAAGAGTTTGAATAAAACTGCTGCTTTTTGTCAAGGGTGAACAGAGAGGGTTTCCCTACATTGCAAAAAGGGTTGCTGGGTTTGTTTGTGGGGAGGAGAATAATTGGCAACATTTACTAAAGTACCTGTTCAAACCACTTTGCATTCTTGGTTTATATCTGGCATCAGTAGTTGGGGGGGGGGGGGTGGAGGGGAGTGTCACAACTCCTTTGGGGGTCTCAAATCAGTGGTGGGGATTGTAGCCATCCTGGCCTTTTCTCCTTTTCTACAGTGCTCAGTAGGGAGGTTACATAGATTGGTTACATAGGTGGGGGTGGGAGGAATGCTGGTGTGGAAAAGATAGTATTTCTCAGTCTTACATAAATCAAGGTAACTAAATTATTTTCTCATTTGTGCTGGCGTAATACCATTGGCCATGATTCTGTTCCCAGTTACATAAGTATAAAACCATAGTATCTCCACTGGTGTATGATTTGGTGGTAACTGGAAAAAAACTGAAAACTTCAGGGGCCTGATTTCACCGTAGTGTTATGCTGGTGTAACTCCACTGAAATCAAGGCGCTTATGCTGGTGTAATATTAGAGTAATGCTGGCAAGAATCAGGACCCAGGTTCTGTCGTCATGATCTCTCATTATGTATAAAGTCACTTAGTGAGGCAAGTTTCTTTTCACAGTGGAAAAAACAACTGCTCATCCTGTGTAGCTGGAAAAAGAACACACCCATAACTAATTCAGCATATGCTTTCACTTTGGGTACTCTTGATATTCATATTTTGGGAGTGCCTTCCAAAATTGTATTGTGTTTTCTTATTTGTTTGAACTATGCCACAGTATCTGCCCCAAGATGTTTACTATGTAGTTAAGCTTTGATCCATCTGCCTACTTGTACGCTACTAGCTCAAAAACCCTAACATTTTTTCTTAAAGAGATACCATCAGCTTAAAATTCATGGCCCAGGTTCTGAGCTATGTCTGAACTGTGCTTGATTCCTCCACCATGAGCTGCACCTATTGTGGCTTTACTCACCTTCACAGCCCCTGGAATCTGTGACTGGCCATGGGTATTTTCCACAAATCTTTAATTTATGCCCACCTGCCCATGGCTCCAAGGGTCCATTCTGGCAGATGGGGATAGCCAGAGTGAAGAGGAAATGTCCCCTGGAAATGCCCTGGAAATGTCCCCTTTGTGAGGATACTACAGGGGGTGTCTATGAGTGATATTGCAGCTGCTGTGTGACTCTACACCACCCAACAATCCTCCTATTTAAGGGAAATTAAAGGTACATCTACACAGGGATAAAAGACAGCCATGGCTGACCTGGGTCAGCTGACAGACTTGGGCTCACAGGGTCCCAGAACTCCCCGAGCCCAAACATCTACACAGCAATTTTTAGCCCCACAGCCTGAGTCCCAGGAGCCTGAGTCAGCTGACCCATGCCTGCTGTGGGTTTTTTATCCCTGTGTAGACAGACCCTTGTGACTGAGAGTAGAATTTGTGCTGCCAACACAAATTGCTTTACCCATGTTGCTTAACACTTTAAATTCTTAAAAGTGAAACATCTTTAAAAATACAACCTAATTGTCACTATGGGCCATATTTTTTAAAGGTATTTAGGCCTCTAAAAGTGCAGATGGGTGCCTATGGCTCTAACTCCATGAAATCAAAGGGAGTTAGACACCAAGGTGCTTTTGAAAATCCGAATAGGTGCCTATCCACATCTTTAGGCATCTATATACCTTTTAAAATCTGGCTCACTGCTCTTACTTTGGGTTTTTTTTGCATTTCTTTCAGTTTGGATAATGAAAATCAATGAAGCAATTTTCACTTTTGTTTATGTAGTCAGTTTCAATTTAAAATTTCTGGTGTACTCTGAGTCTACAGCACTACAGGAGAATGTATATTTGCTTAAAAACAGCTACTTTCATTGGGATTTTTTAAAAGTTGTGGAAATTGCTTTGTTTTAGGTTTTATAAAATCTTGCTTTTTACAAAATTTAAAATTTGTAAAAAGCATCAAATTTAAGTTGACAGTGTCCCTTTAAGGGACAGTATAGGTATATGTGCCAGGAAGGTTGGACTGTGATGATTTGAATGGCCAAGTTTTAAGTGATCATTGAAACAAATAAGTGTCCTCTTTCATAAGTGTGAGGTGCTTTTGAAAACTCCCTTAAAATTGAAAACTTTTCCATTAAATGAGTATCTTGGCAGTATTTTGGTACTGTTAGAAAAGATGCAAGTTTGGTAGTAAGCAATTCCCTTTTCCATTAAAGATATCAGCTGATAACGAGAATGCTATTTAATGAATCACAGTGTATTTACCTGGTCTGACTCTGATACTTACTGTCAGATTAGAGCAAATATTGCCTGTTTTAAATAAAAAAAAGTTTTTGATGTTGAAAATATGGACTAATTTATGTGTTTTTTTTAATTAATATGAATGTTTTTTATAGTAAAACATTCACTACAGAGGTTTGTACTTATCTTTTCGTTTAGTTATGATAATCTTTGGAATAACAAGAAATGTAAGTGAAATGTTTGGCAGTTAAGCATTTTACAGAAATAAAGGTTTTAAATTACAGGCAGCATACGTTTAGTAGCTACATCAGTGATTTCTGAGACGCTAACTGAAGATTTGGAATGATAATTTTAGTAATTTAACACACTGAACCTCTAGTTTTTCAGTAATTGTAAATTTGTCACATACACTGAAGAGTTATAAGCCCAAGTACTAATTGTGTGGACTTTATACTGTAACACTACAATGCAATATCTTCATTCCTAATCAGTGAAAGTGAGTGTTCTTATCTATTGGAGAATATTAAAATGTTTATGTTAAGTATTTAAGAGGTATTTTTAATCTTCAAATTTATATTTTGTTATATAGTATTCTGATACATTATGGAAAATATTATACATTTTGATATCTAATCCTATATACTCTTTTCTTGCTGATAATCTCTTTATAAAATAAAAATGTTAATACAGAAAACTGAAATATGGTTCTTAATAACTTTGATAAGTTTTACATTAGGGATGAGGAAACGTACAAAAAGTTCAGCACCACTCAAATAAACAAAGCAGTGGGATTTGGTTTTGGACTCAACTGTATCATTTACAGTTCATCTGCATAAGGCCTCAAGTGTTTAGCTGATTAGATCACAGAGACCCTCAAAGGTGAATACTTGAACATACGTGCAGTCATCCCATATATTAATAAACTTTTTGAAAACCCTCTTTTTAGTGACCTTTCAAAACTTAGTCAACTGCAGTCAAAAGGCATATAGGTCCAAAACATCAGCAGCCGCAATATTTCCTCTAAAATAACTGGAGTACTTGTGGTACCTTAGAGACTAACAAATTTATTTGAGCATAAGCTGTCGTGGGCTACAGTCCACTTCATCGGATGCATGCAGTGGAAAATACAGCAGGACGATTTTATATACACAGAGAGCATGTGTTTCATGTTCTCAGTGAAGTGAGCTGTAGCCCACGACAGTTTATGCTCAAATAAATGTGTTAGTCTCTAAGGTGCCACAAGTACTCCTGTTCTTTTTGCAGATACAGACTAACATGGCTGCTACTCTGAAATATTTCCTCTGTATGTTTGAAATTAAAATGAATCCATCACTGTCAGAAGGGGAGAGAATTGTACTTCTTTCAGTGGGCCGAATCCAATCCACAGTTGTTTTGGATGGAATCTTGAAGTGAGGAAAACAAAAACGTTGTTCCATTTATGTTTAAAAAACAATCCGTTTTATTATTTTAGTTTGCAGTGTATATATACAGGGCCTAGCACAATGGGGCCCCATTTTTCATAGGTCTGTAGGCACTACCATAACAAACATTAATAATATTGTATGTGTACGATAGTTCACAAGTTGACGTGTTCTGTTTCTTTGGGAATAGCAGGCCTGGTAATTCTATGAGTGTTCAACAGATCAGGGGCTGGACTCTGCAGGAAACTCTCCGAGGACTCGGGTTGGTATGCACCTGTTGGTATGAAGAAAATGAGGCCTGGAAGGTAATGGTTGTGCTGCCAGAGGCTGATTGTTTCAGGGAGCTGATCCACACAGCACAGACTAGACTTCCTTAGGCTAAGGGAAGGTAGAGGTGAGGTGTCTCGCAACCCTGGGTACCGCTGGGAAGCATCACAGTTGTCCTCTTCACTATGTATTAAGAAACATAACTGTTTTCAACATTCAGAAGTTAAAAATTGTTGTACATCTAAACTGTCTTCCTCCTCTCCCCCCAAAACAGTAAGGGCAAGTGCAGGAAAAACAATACTAATGCTTAGACCAACCAGTGAATAGCCCTGTGTT